CTCGCGAGCCCAGGACACCGGCGAGAAATCTGGGCGCCTCCTCTCCCCACTCCGCACTGTCGAGGACCCTGAAGACCTGGAAACAGCTTTCAGGGCGCAGAGCACACGGGCCACCGTGCAGGCCACACAGGCCCTTTGACATCTGTTTTTTGACCTGTGGTGTAGGTTAACCGGAGTGGCAGACTTCTTAAGACCCTGACGCAGAGCTAACACCGAGGTGATGGGGGTTGGGATTTGGAGCTCAGTTCCTGAGGCTTCTGGAAACTCCGAAGCAGAGGGGCCAGGTCCTCTGATCCCCAGGGGACTTTCGGCAATGTCTGGAGACGTCTTGGCTGCCCCACTAGGCAGAGGGGTGCTGCTGGCATCTCGCGGGTGGAGGTCAGGGACGCTGGTCAACATCCTCCAGCCACAGGGCCGCCCCCGCAACAAAGAGTTCTCTGGCCCCAAATATCAAGAGTGACCATGCCCACCCGCTCTCCCCTATACCGTGAGCACGGGGAAAGCCTACTGGTGTTGATAGGGAAGAGAGGAGACAAGAGAAACTGCATTCGCACTAGTTCATTCTCCCTTCAACAGCAGGAAAAGCATTTCCTGATGATACTGTCCCTTGGAGTCCAAGGCTACCTGGCCTGTCAAACCTTAGGAAGTGGCCTCAGTCTCTGAGGCTCAGTACCCTCACCTGTCAAATGGGTGTGATTAAAATATTAGCCTTGGCCAGGCACTGTAACTCGTGACTGTAATCCCAACACTTTGGGTGACCAAGATGGGAGGACTACTGGAGCCCAGGAGTTCCAGATCAGCCTAGGCAACATAGTGAGACCTCGCCTCTACTCAAATTTTAAAACTGGCCATGTGTGGTGGCACATGCCTATCGTCCCAGCTACTTGGGAAGGTGAGATGGAAGGATCACCTGAGCCCAGGAGATCAAGGATGTTGTGAGCCATGATGGTGCCACTGCACTTCAGCTTGGAAAACAGAACAAGACCCCCGACTCAAAAAAAAAGAAAAAAAAAGTACTGGCCTTACCTCACTTAGGTTTTATAAAAGACAGGAAAGGCCCAGGCATGATGGCTCACACCTGTAGTCCCAACGCTTCGGGAGGCTGAGGCAGGAGGATTTCTTGAGGCCAAGAGTCAGAGACCAACCTGGGCAACATAGATTCTGTCTCTACAAATTTTTTTTTAATTAGCCAGATGTGGTGATGTACACCTGTAGTCCCAGCTGCTTGGAATGCTGAGATGGGAGGATCACTTGAGCCTAGGAGTATGAGGCTTCAGTGAGCTATGATGGTTCCACTGCACTCCAGCCTGGTCAACAGAGCGAGACCTTATCTCTAAAAAAAAAGAAGAAGAAGAAAAGACAGGAAAGCCCTGCAATCACAGGAGGTTATATATATCCCTTCACTCCCTGCCTAGTCACACGATATTTGAGATGTTTTATTCATGCATTCAGTGTCTACTTTGTGCAGGATCCTTGGCTACGCACTTTGCAGGAAAAAAGATGTGTTGAGACCTAGCTCTTCCTCACCTCCCTTTCCCCCCTCCCCACCCCAGAGTTTGTAGTTTACAAATAGAAATAAGATGGCTAACCAGGGCAGTGTGTAAGGAATGGAGTGTGCAGATCTGACCTGTAAGAGTTTGGAAAAGGGAGAGCTCACCACTAGCCTGGCGAAATCAAGGAGAATTTCATGGAGGAGGGGACAGTGAGCTCATCCTTGAAGGGGGTAGGGTGTCAACGGGAAGAGATGTGAGGTGGGTGGAGGATGGAGGAGGTTGATTCAGCAGATCGAGGGAAGGGTCAGGCATGTTGGGGGGATGTGGAGAAGAGAGAGGTGGGAGATGAGGCCAGAGTTCCGGTGAGGGAGGAGTCAGGATGTAAGAGCCTTGAATGCCGCGCTGAAGAATTTGGGTTTTGCTTGGAAAGAATAGGAAATGCTCACTCAGGAGAGACTGACAGAGTACCTACCTACTCTTGGCCACGGACCTGGGGATGCAGCAATGAATGACACAGACAGGAATGCCTGCCCTGGCGGAGGTGCCATTCTAGTGGCGTGGCCAGTGATAAACACAAAATGCACACAAGACAGAGGATCTAAAATGCCTGTGACAACTGAGGAGAAAAGGCACGGAGGGGGGCCGGGAGGTTGCAGTGGTCGATGAGGTTGTCAGAGACGCCAGGCTGAGATGGTACTTAAACAAAAACCTGATGGAGGTGAGGGACGGACCCACGAGAGTGCATGGGTGGGGAAGGGATGGTCAAAGAGGGGTTGGGAAAACGGACGGGTGGGGAGTGGGAGACAGAATCTGGCATGCTTCGGGCTGGAAGTAAGGAGGGCCTGTCTCCCTCCGACCCAGGTCCTCGAGGACCCTGTCCTTGGCTTCCCTTGAGCCCACTCCTGGGCTCTCCCCAGACCTGCAGTCTGGGCTCCCGGCCCCTCGGTTCCGGGTTCTGCTGCCTTCCCAGAGCCCAGCTGTGGGACATGCACATGGACGCTCACGTCCACACACGTCCGCACGTGCGCTCTGTCCTGACCGCCACCACCCCCTCCAGGCTCTGCTCTCCAGGCCCCTGACTCCTGCGTCACTGCCCTGACCTAGCCGTGGAGAGGGGGCCGGGAACACGTCCTGAGGAGGAGGCTTGGGGGCTGTGGGAACTGCCCTGCCCCTCGCACAGCTTGTCGGGGTCCCGAGGTCCCTGCCTGCCAGAGGGGAGGGAGGCGGATGGGCCAGGGGCCTCTGGAGCCGGAGCCTGCTGGACAGGGGAGGTGGCTGCCTCTTCCCCGGGGGGTTTTGGAGAGAGAGCGGTGGCTGCAGTGTGGGAGGGACGCGAGGAGAGGATCTTGGTCCACTCCTTACCCCATCTGAAGCCACAGCGACCCTGCTAGGAGGACAGAGGCTAGCTTAGGGACTGACTTCAGCCCAGGTGCTGGGATGCCACACCACAGGGTCCATCCATTCGCCCTCGAAGAACTGGAAGAAAACAGAAAGCTGCCTGGGGGTCCCCTTCCAGTGTGCCCCGCCCTGCCCAGGGCTCCCTCTGCCCCCTCCTTGTATTCCCCTGGCGTGGTGCTGACTGGGCCCAGGGCCACTGCAGAGAGTCTCCTCGCCGGTCTCTCCAGCTTCTCCCATGCCCTGCCGCTCGATTAACTTTCCCCTTGCACAGCCAAGTTTGTGTCACTCCCTGGAGCAGGAACCTGCCATGGCCCCCCATTGCCTCAGAACTGAGACCCCCCCCCGTGTTCTGCCATCCACCCAATTTTGCAGCCTGTTCCACCTGGCTCACGCCACGCCCTCTGCTACAGGAGCTCAGTAAGATGGTGGTGGCTTCCTGCCATTTACTCACCCTGTGCCTTCTACCTGGGTGACCCTCCCACATTATCTCCCCCTTGTCTTCAAATCCCAAGCATGACCTCCTCTCCGAAGCCTTCCCGGACCCCCCAACAGGAAATCGTCTCCTTCCCCTGCACTGCCGTCATCTCTGTACACGTTTTGGGCATCTCACGGGCAAGGCCATCGTGGACAACTGCCAGAGTTGAGCACGGCACAACTCCAGGGGGCATTCAAAGAGATAGATGGGAATTTTGTGGAGCAGGTGCCCTGGCGCTTGGAGGAGAGCGTGAACCACCATGCACAGAAGGCTCACATGCCTGTGTGCCCATGAGGCACCCAGCATGTTGCCTATCTGTGGCCATCGCCCGTGTGCAGATGGCATCTTGTGGCCTCCAGTCCAAGCTCCTCCACCTAGAGGGAGGCCTAGGGGGCAGAGACACGCCTGGTCACCTAGCTCCCTGGGTCCTGGGGGCTGGTGAGGCCTCCATCCACTTCCTGAGCAAGCAGTCACTGAGGCAGGGTTTGAAAAGGGACAGTTATCACCAGAGAATGGGGGGGGGGTGGAGGCAGGCTCTGTTCCCTGGATTCCTCCTGGCAGCCGATTCAGATGGGAAATCCAAGGAGAAGCAAATTTACAGCCCTCCCGAGCTGTCCCAGACCCCAGGCAGCACAGAGCCCCAGCTGCCTTGAGTCGGACTTGGGGGGGGGCGCTCCCTGGCCTCTCCTCCCTCCTCATTTCCAAGCAGTGGCTTCTGGCTTAGCTCGGGAGTTCAGCCAGCGGTCCAGAAGACCTTCTGTGCTGGGAAGCGAGGTGGCCGGCAGGCCTTGGAGGGTGGCCCTTAGGGACAAAGAAGGAAGCAAGAATGCTGGAAAAGGGATTCCTGCTGGAGGGCCAAAGGAAAGTCCTTTGCCAAGGTCAATTTGGAGAAACGGAGGCTAGGGTCTTGGTCACAAAGGGGTCAGTAGAACCAGACATCCAGGTTTCTGTTCTCAGCAAACGGCTCTGTGATCCAGCTGCTTCAAGGCGTCGTCTGGCGAACAAGAGTGCTTGGATTGGCGGCCTGAGTTCTGCCACTGACCTGCCAGGTGCCTGACTGGACGTGTGACTTTATCTCTGAGTCTCACTTCTGCAGAATGAGGGGAGTGCAAATGACAGCGGCTGCATCCCAGGGCTGAGGCGGGATTACATAACATCTGGAGTGTGGTAATCAATAAACGCTGGCTGTTATCATGCTACTCTCTGCTTTATTATTTCTTCTATTGTCCTTTCTTTGAAGGCCTGAAGACTGAGTCTCCAGTGTCTTCCTCAGCCTTTCTCCGGCTTTTTTTTTTTTTGAGTCGGAGTCTCACTCTGTTGCCCAGGCTATAGTACAGTGATGTGATCATAGCTCACTATAACCCAGAACTCCTGGACTCAAGCTTGTTTGGTCAAAAAAAAAATTTTTTTTTAAGAGATGGTATTCTTGCTATGTTGCCCAGGCTGGTCTCGAACTCCTGGCCTCAAGCAATCCTCCTACCTCCATCTCTCAAGGCGCTGGGATTACATGCATGAGCCACTGCACCCAGTCAGAACTATCTTAAAATTGGTTTATTCAGTACTGGCCCACCAGGGATTTATTGCCTCATGAATGTGTGTCTCTTCCTAGGAAGGCCTGAAGAAGCCCTGGTGGTCTTGGCCTGAGACTTTTGGGCCTACCCTAGACAAGCCCTGGAGCATTGCAGGACCACCTTTCTTGGTTAATTGTCTCTTGAATCCCCCAAACCCTTGAGTCCTTGAAGGAGGACTCCCAGAGCACCAAGGATATCCTTCTCAAGCTCCAAAACCACTTCCCCTGTAAGGTGTCTGCAAAATGTGTGAGACCCCATTCTAGGATCTCTAGTTAACAAATATCGTTGAGTATTCCCAAGCTTCCTTCTATATCAGAAGACACAGCTGGTAAATTGATCAGGGTAGCTTTCCTGTCCAAGCAAAAACAGAAAATCCTAACTTAAAAACAACAACAAGCCGGGCTCGGTGGCTCAGCCTGTAATCCCGCGCTTTGGGAGGCTGAGGTGAGTGGATGGCCTGAGCCCATGGGTTCGAGACCCGCCTGGGCAACTTGGCGAGACCTCATCTCTACAATAAATGAAAAAACTAGCCGGGCATGGTAGCGCACGCCTGTAGTTCCAGCTACTCAGAAGGCTGAGGCAGAAGGATCGCCAGAGCCCAGCAGGTCAAG